ATAAATATAAATATGTATGGCGGTGTAAAGTTATATGTGTAAGCAATACATATATTTATTATCAGAAAATAATAAAAAAATATAACATTATAACGTAACATAATAAATTACAAGACAAAATTAAAAAAAAAAAATACAGATAAACTACTTAGTTATAAGAGTTATAAAATTATTTTTATTAATTTTGTTGTAATATTTGTATAATTAAGTTATGAAATTATTGTTTATGTGTGGTTTTATTATATGTATAATAATTTACATTGATTTTCATTCATGTTTTAATAGTTTTTTGGAATTCATCATAACTTTAAGATTATATAATTAATAAAATTATTACTTATAATCGGATCTATAATCAATATTTTTTAAGATTAAAATAGACTAAAATTGATTAACATTAAATTTATACTTTTGTGATATATTTGGTGAAATATCATGGGAGACCAAACCAAATGTTATTTTCTATAAATAGGAAAATGATGAAATATTATTATTTTATTATTCCGTGTAAAATTTGATGGAATTGGTGGGAGACCAAATACACTATTTTTTCACCAAAAGTAGTGAAATTGTAGAATGGTGCGCTAAGAGTGGGAGATAAACCCATTTTTTCACTACAAAAAATAGGATTTGGTGAAAAAATAGTGATAACGGTGGAAGATGCTCTTAGTGGTGATAGTTATTGCCAAATGGACATGCCACCTCAAGATTTTCAAATGCCACCTATAGTAAACCTCGACACGATAGATGACTGTATTCTTCAACTTTTCATTCTTTAGCTTTTGACACCTAGTATTATTTGTATAAAAACAAATTTCAACTAATATATCAATAAATTATAAATTTACTAACTATTAAAATTATTTATTTAATCGGACTTAATTATTACTCCCGACACAAATACAATAGGACCGAGCAATCAGACTTCAATTGGCGCAGTTCAATTGGCATACTTGAACTTAAAAACGAGATTTGTACGTGCACAATGTTTTTTTTTAACCTCCCAAATTTTGTTGGAGAAACTAATTTTCAAGAACTCTTTTGCTGAGGAGAAAAAAACACTATTTTCTTTTTTTTTTTTTGTGAAGAAAGGAAAAAACTGCATAATATACATTTCAATATTGAATTTTTTGACAAATTTATTTTTAGTGTGATTTAGATATGTCCCCATTAAATTTTTTACACGTCTTTAGTTTTTGGGATAATTATAATTTTGAAAACAAAAGGGGAAATTTGAAAATAAAATCTGAAACTAGAATTTGGGCAAGGGGCCAAGTACAATGATATCTTGAAAACCAATGTAAGAAGAGATATAGATATCACAATAGATAAGATTTAAGACCACATTCCTCCTCCCACTTATAAATAACTACCAACAGCCATATCCCCTTTCATCCTCATCGACACTTGCTCTTTCAACCCAAAAAACACTTGCCTTATTTCTTCAATGGCTGCCTCTTCAAGTTCAATGGCGTTGTCTTCTCCATCTTTCGCCGGACAGGCAGTGAAGCTCTCTCCCGAAATCACCGCCAACTACAGCCGTGTCTCAATGAGGAAAACCGCCGCAAAGCCGAAGCCTGCGTCATCCGGCAGCCCATGGTACGGCCCAGACCGTGTCAAGTATTTGGGTCCATTCTCCGGGGAGGCACCTAGCTACCTCACCGGTGAGTTCCCAGGTGACTACGGGTGGGATACAGCTGGACTTTCGGCTGACCCCGAAACATTCTCCAAGAACCGTGAGCTTGAAGTGATCCACTCAAGATGGGCCATGCTTGGTGCTCTTGGTTGCGTCTTCCCCGAGCTTTTGGCCCGCAACGGTGTCAAGTTCGGTGAGGCTGTTTGGTTCAAGGCCGGATCACAAATCTTCAGTGAGGGTGGCCTCGACTATTTGGGCAACCCAAGCTTGGTCCATGCTCAGAGCATATTGGCCATTTGGGGTGTCCAAGTTGTTTTGATGGGAGCTATTGAGGGCTACAGAATTGCCGGTGGGCCCCTCGGTGAGGTTGTTGACCCACTTTACCCGGGTGGTAGCTTTGACCCATTGGGCCTTGCTGAGGACCCCGAAGCCTTCGCTGAGCTCAAGGTAAAAGAGCTAAAGAACGGCAGACTTGCAATGTTCTCCATGTTCGGATTCTTTGTTCAGGCTATTGTCACCGGAAAGGGCCCACTCGAAAACCTTGCCGACCATCTTGCCGATCCCGTTAACAACAATGCCTGGGCCTTTGCCACTAACTTCGTACCCGGAAAGTAAAATTGACATAGATGAGTACTGTAGTGATTAATACGGATTGATTGAGTATGATGTAAAGTTAATGTGTATTATTATTATTATTGAAATATTATAATAATGTATTTATGGGATTCAACAAATGACAAAAGCCTATCAACAATGTCTTGTGCTTCTGTTCGATGACTTGTACTTGAAGCATCACGGTCAATAACTTCAAGTACATCAATTATTGCATCAAATTAAACATATTGATCAAACTCAACAAAGTATTGTAATGCGAGCTCCAACGCGTATTACCTGTGTATTTAAAAAAGTAAATAAAAATAAAAATTTATGAGACATTCTAAAATGGTAAAAAAAAATATTAAAGCCTAAAAATAATATAACCTGCTCGTTTGAGATTTGTTTCTTGATTTAGACCTCGCCCACTTGAAATCTCCCCCATATTGAGTGCATCGATTATGTTTTCATGTTGCTTTTGTCTAAGCAAATCACGACGTTTACATGAAGAACCAACAACATTCAACACTCTTGTATTAAAATCAAAAAGTGAAGAAATATGATCGTGCTTCTTAGCAACTGCTACTAAAGCTAATTGGAGCTGATGAGCGAAGCAATGAATATAATATGCACAAGGGTTCTCATTCAAGATGAGTGTTTTTAGGCCACTGAATTGACCTCTCATATTACTAGCTCCATCATAACCTTGACCACGTAATTTAGAGACACTCAATCCATATCGAGAAAAAAAATCATCAATAGTTGCTTTAAGAGTCAAAGCACTAGTATCAGTAACATGTTCAACTCCTAAAAATCGCTCAATCACAATACCAGATTTGTCGACATACCTTACCACTAAGGCCATTTGCTCCTTCATCGATATATCCCTTGCTTCATCAACCATTAGACAAAACGTCGAATCACCAATATCACTTATAATTTCTTTCAGAATTTCCATTGCAAATGCATTTACAATCTCCTTTTGAATATCTGAACATATCATCTTGTGGTTTAATGGAGCATTGTTCAGAGTAACTTCTTTAATATTCGAATTAATTTGCCCAAAGGTTTTCACAAGTTGAATAAAATTTCCTGGATTAGTCGAATTTTCGCTTTCATCGTGACCACGAAATGCTAGTCCTTGTGTTGAGAGATATCGAGCCACCTCAATTGAAGTAATCAAACGCATTTTATATTTAGCCTTTTCTTGATCTGACTGCTTGTGAACAACTGTCTCAATATGTTGATTTTGATTCATCAAATCTGCACATTTCCCCAAGCTTCATTATGTGCACTATTAGGACCTCCTACGTGAGTAACTAACTTTTCATTTCTCTTCCAATTACTAAATCCTTCAGTAACAAAATGATCACCTCCCGATTGACCTCCCATATCTGGTTTGAAAAGATAACAGCATAAACAATATGCTGCATCTTTGGATACACTATACTCCAACCAAGTACTATATTTGGTGTACCAAGTGTTAATAAATCGACTATTTTGCTTGCCATAAATTGTGAGAGGAAATGCGTGGTTATACGGTAGGCAAGGACCTTTTTGCAAATATGTTCTACGAACTCGATCTCGATCATTAACATTATATTGTAAAATACTAAGGCCTTTGTCCAGGATTTGCAGGAAGATCTTCTAAGTTAATTTCTCGGAGTGGTTTATTCGATGTAGATTCATCACCTTCTTGAAGAGGAGGTGCTTTTCTTTTTAAATATGTAACATAACTGTTTAACAAGACAAAATAAAATATATTAATAAAAAAATAAGGAGTTCCAAGAAAGTGATCAGAGATTAAGACAACAAAAATTAAAGGAAAAAAGCTCAAAATCCATAAAATATATCACTTTGTCAAGTTTTTTTAATAATAATAATGAATGGAGAATTAATAAATAATAAAATATATAAAGAATGATGAATAAAAATCACCTGTCTCAATTCTTCATATACTGCTACTGGTGCGTGCATATCATATGGTCTTTTCTTTGTTTTTTTATTTATTTTATTTTTATTTTTTTATTTATTCATCACTCCAATTTTTCACCTGATCAATTTCCTTCGTTTGTTTGCCAATTACATCCACTTTTAACAAATATCAATTCCTTAAATTCACTTTTCACCATTATCATCGCATTACAAGAAGTTCCCATTTTCCCGATTTTTAGTTCTTTCTTTGCCTCCACTGTAGAAGATAATACCAAAACAAACAACAAAACCTAAATTGCAATGAAAATCCAGGAAACATGTATATCTAGTCGATTATCAAAATTACTCAATCGACTTCTAAATTTCTAATTGATATTCAGTATGAAAATTAAGATGAGAGAGAAGATGCGAAACCTTAATCGATCGCCGGTAGGTGGCAATTTCCGGCAAGCAACGATTGTAGAACGCTATATGCAACTGTGCAAGAGAGTTTTTTTTATTTCTTTCTTTCTGAGAGAAACGAGAACGACGTTTCGTGAGAGACGATGCTTTGAATAGTGGGCTAAAAATAAGTGATGTTAGATAATATAATTGGGTATTTGGGTGGGCTTTAAAAGGAAATAGGGTATTTTATATATATATATATATATATATATATATATATATATATATATATATATATATATATATATATATATATATATATATATATATATATATATATATATGAGAAAATTTTTAAGAAGTGAGGGGGGGCTTGAGTCCACCCTAGCCCTTGCGTGGACTCGGACTGGTCACATATGTGAGCCCACATAATTATTGAAATAATTTCAAAAATCTCCCACTAGGGGCACATATGCTATATACCTTATAAATGTGTACACCTTATGAGCTCAAATATTGCTATCATATAAAAATGTATTCCTTACAATCTCGTCCATTGACCATACTAATATAGGACTAAAGAGAAAAAGAAAAACGTCTTCATCTTGTTCCAGCAGTCAGTCCTGGATTTTGAGAACCCATGGCCCGAAACCTCCGAACAAACCACCGACATAACCCTCTGCAATTCCAAGGATGACCGCTGCCGCCACACCAATCTCACCGCCCACCGGCGCACACCCGATCTCATCGCCCAGCATCGCACACCTCCGCTGCGGCTTGGGGCGGCCTCAATTGTGAGAAGATCATCTAATCCTCCATTCATTGGAAGAATATCTAGTCGATTCGGAGGAAGAAATCGAGAGAAAATAGTGTTCATATAACCTGAATTGGGGAAAGGGGGAAATTAAATGAATATTTTTGACCTAATTTTAGGTCCAATTTCAGTCAATTAAAATGAGTTAGGATTAGATGTGTTCATAATACAAACTTTAGAATGTAATGTGTCCATCGTCGAAAAATCTCGCTTGGGGTTGTGGGCGGCAGATCTGAAGACAATATGGTGGTGGTGGTGAGCTTGGTAGTTGTGCAAGATGTCGGAGCTGGTTCCTGGTGGTGAGCGGCGGACGACTGCAACATGATAGAAATGGTTGATGAAAGTTGTGAGTTGGGTGAGTAGGATGGGCTGGTGTGCGTGGAATGGGTAGCTGCTGGGATTGGGAACAAGATAAAGGCAACTTTTTTTTTAATTATTCGATTTGACATTTATTCCATTTTAAAAATGGAAAAGACGTCAGTAGGCTTAGATTTGTCATGTGCAACGCGCGTGGGTTGAGAACCAATCATTTTGATCCGAAAATAGGTAAAAAAAAGGGTAAGTGGCATAATTAAATGAGTACAAGTGAACTCGTGCAAAATAGAATTTGTTCGTTTGGTGATCCGCAAAACCTTAAAAAATTTAAATGGTTTAATTCTATTTACCCTTTAAATTAATTATTTAATTAAAATATAGTCGGGGTTAAATTAGATAATTCGATGTTAATTTATTTTATATTAGTTTAATAGAAAAAATTTAATCGAAGGCTACTTTGGTTAATGATTCATTAATTATAACACCATCCATGTTATTTTCCTAGACTCGAGATCTAATCTTATAAGATTAACGGTGATTCGAGCATATCTCATATGAGTTTCAAACACGAAATACCTTTAGACAAACTCATTAAAATAATATTGAAATCAAAATTAATTGTATAACTATCTTTAAATATTATACTTCCCAAACATGCATGCCCACATCTTCCCAAAATCAAAGACAAAAAAATAAAAAAAAATTGTCCTGCGCAATCTTTGCCCACCACCCCCCCCCCCCCCCCTCCCTACCTTTTTGGGCCACTGTAGCTTCGCCCAT